TCTTGTTTAGGCCTCTCCGGTTCTCCGAACTCGATCTCTTTCGCATCAATCAAGTCTTGTACCTTGTTCTTCAAAACCCAACAATCATCTGTATTATGCCCCGGGCTATCAGAGTGAAAAGCACAGCGGGCATTAGGGTTATACCTCGGTGATGTGATAATTGGATTCTTTGGGACTTCCTTTGGAATCACCAGATTGGTCTTCAGCAACTGTGGCAGAATCTGAGATAAGGTCATGCTGAGACGAGTGAATTGCCTTCGAGGTCTCTCGTCCTTTTGTTGATTGTTGTGCTGAGGAGCACCAGTAGGTTTTGAAATCACAACCGCATTAACAGCTTGGCGGTGTTCGGGTCTATTCTGGTTTCTTGAACTGTAGACAGCACTGGACTCTTTCTTAAACGGCTTCTTCTCGGTGCTCGATGAGGCACCCTTCTGTATTTTACCAGCCTTAATACCAGCCTCGATCCTCTCACCAGTCAAAATAAGCTCTGTAAATCCAGATGAAGAGCTTCTAATCAGGTGGTTGAAAAATGGACCAGACAGGGTCCCCAAGAACATGTCCACAAGCTCCCGATCAGCCAAGGGTGGTTGTACTCTTCCGGCAAGGTCTCTCCACTTCTGAGCATAATCTTTGAATCCTTCACCCATTCCCATTGACATACCCTGGAGTTGGGTACGCGTAGGAGCGAGGTCGTAGTTGTACTGATACTGCCTGTAGAAAGTAGTAGCCAAATCTTCCCAACTGCGGATACTGGCTTCGTCTAACTGATAGAACCACTCAAGTTGAGTCCCTGAGAGACTGTCTTGAAAGAAATGGATCCATAGGTTCTTATCAGCGGTGTATGGCTGAATCTTCCTCACATATGACCAGAGGTGCAGCTTCGGACAAGAAACTCCGTCATACTTAGCAAAGGCCGGTGCCTTAAATTTATGGGGAATCACCACCCCAGATGATAGACCTAGATCTCCAAAGTCCAGACCAGGCACCTTCTGAACTTCCATGACACTCAACCGGTCTTCCAATTGCTTGTATGTGTCCTCAGCAGGAGGATACTGTTCTTCGTCGAAGTCTGTCTCGTTGTCGGAGACCACAGGGCTAGGAGCCCTCCTTTCTTGTGGACTATCTTTCCCTCCAGATGAGGTGGTCAGATCAACTTCATTCTGAAGCCTGTTCCCAAACCTATGCCCTGTGTTAAATAGGATGGTCCTCTTCTTCTTCTTCTTCTTCTCTTTCATAATCAGGGTCTTCAGGTCTTGCTGACCCTTAGCTAGACTCATGAACAACTCTTGAATTTGGGCATTCTGGGCCTGGAGGGCCTTGATGGCTTGCTTAGTTGAAGGTTCAACAGACATGATGAGTGCTGAAATAAACAGCGAAGAAGATAAGAGACCTGTAACGGGTACCTGTTTATGAAGTGCATGGGATGAAATGCGTATGATTTATGATTTCAAAGACAATTGAGAGATTCAAATTTGTGAACAAGAAAGGAAACACACTTTATTAGATAAACTTTAGAATTCAAATTGTTCAACTGATGCCATTAAGGCGTTACATGAATGGAAATACTGAAAAGTAAAAATAAAACTGGAAAGGAAACCATCAAAGGCCTATCAATTCTCCCATGGTCGCTTCTTCTCAGTGCGGACATAGTCGTTGAGAATCCGCTCGTTCTCCAGTTGCCTAGTCAGCTTCTGGATCTTTTTCTCTTGCTCGTTGAACTTCTCTCAGTAAGAATCCCGTTCATCCCTCAGCTACATCCAAGATCTCTTCAGTGCCCCAATGTCAGTGGGCATATAAGGATGGAGGATGGTTGGAAGAACCCCTTCTTCATTAGCAACTTCAAGAGTGACAGGTCGGATGGCTTCATATGGAATACCCAGCTTTTGGGCACAGATACAGACCCATCTGAGATATGGCTCCATCGGGAGTGAAGTCTTTGGACCCAACTCATGTGGATCAGATTGGTGAACTCTGTCCGAAGCCCTTATGAATCTACGACATTGCTCGTCGATATCCCCTTGGAAATCAAAGATGATATGAGGCATTAGCATCTCATGAGGTCCTTCTCTTCTGGCTCCTCCAAATTGACGGAGAGCTAAGCATGGGTTGTAAGAAATTCCTCCATGGGTTCCTATCAATGGAACATTAGGATGCTCTCCACAACGATCAATGATAGTCACCTCATCCATACCTTTGAGAGTCCAAATGATGTCATTATGCGAGAGAGACATCACCCTATAAGCCCAGCCCATTCCTTCTTTATTCTTCAGCACTGACTTGGGGAGGTGCGAAATAAACCATCTCGACAATAAAGGAGCACAACGCATCAAGGTTCCCCGTTTTTGGGCAGTACGAGCATAGAGCTGATGAAGAATGGCACCCAAGAGAGTGGGTACAGGGTTCTGAGAGATGAAGATCTCTATGGCATTCACATCAACAAAAGTGTCAGGATTCGGAAACAATACCAAGCCATATATCAGAAGAGCCAGAATATCCTCGAAGGCCTTGAAGTCTAGATTATCCCAGAAATAGTTAGCCTTACCAACCAAGAATTTAGTAAGAAAACCCTTAGCTCCACTTCTAGTCTCCCAATTAGCCATTACCTCTTCCTTAGTCAAATGAAGGGCTGCAGCAATCCCTTCGGGCCTAAGGGTCTTCTCCCAACCAGTAAACGGGGTCTGCTCCAGAACAGAGATACTGAGCAGCTCAGAGAACTCTTCTAGGGTGGGAACCAGCTGATAGTCTTGAAAAGTGAAGCAATGGTACAGCGGATCATAGAATTAGACTAGGACACTCATCATCTGCTCGTCCAATTTGGAGGTGACCAAACTGAGAAGAGAACCATGCCTCTTGATGAAGGAAGTAGTGTCAGGCATCTTGGCAACCAACTCTTTAAGCAAGGTAGGAACTTGGACAAAGTTGATTCGGATGGTATTCTTATGCATGGGCATCATGATGACCTACAAAACAGAACAAAGATGAATCCCTCCTGTCTTTGAAATAGGTTAGTCCAATGCAAGATGTATGCAATCTTATGATGTCATGATGTCATGATAGTAAGCATGCCACAAGTATCCACAAAAAGCAAACATGGTAAAGGCACACAAGTCACACAGAGAGCCCTTAGATTTCAGGCTGGCAAGGAGCTTAGGTACTACCCTCTTTCAGTTCAGTTGGTTTAAACCTGTCCTAAAAATAGTAACCGGGTTCTAGAGGATCTCAATATCACTGACTACCCTCAATCGGTCATAATTCCATTTTAGCAACCTTTTCTTGCGGTCGGAATCATCGCGAGAGTTTAGTCTCAATGAGTGTAGCATACTGCTACTGTTCTATGGCCAAGTTGGTCAATTTAAGGTTCAAAGGTCAGTTGGTGCTTAATGACCCCTTAGAAGACCCATATTCTCCTTGTTCCAACACAAGGGATATCGGTACAGACTAAAGTGCCACACCAATGTAGCTACTGTTTCAACCGTGTTGGTCTACGCCGGATAGTTCCCTCACAGTTTATTGCTACTTACCTAAAGGGTACACTACAAGAAAAAAAGAGATTTACGACACATAAATTGCGACAGTTCCCACAAAACCGTCCTTATTCCTGAATTGCGACAGTTGTCACGACGGTTAGGCTCAACCGTCGTAGATTTTCAAGCATTATGGGTAACATAATTGCGACAGTTACCAAAAAACCGCCCTCTTTTCACATCCGCGACAATTAGGTGAACTGTCGTAACTACATTAGCCAATCATAATCGCTACTTTTTTTTATTCTTTTACTTTCCCACTTTTTTTCTTTCATTTCCCCTTCTTTTTCTCTTTTATTAATAATAATAATAATAATAATAATAATAATAATAATAATAATAATAATAATAATAATAATAATAAAATAAATTACCAACAAAATAAATTTTCACACCCATCAATATTAACCGCCGCATGAAAAAAATCTAATTAATTACTTGAAAAAAATTATTTAAAAATCATCAAAGACCACGACGGTGAAAATACCGTCGCCTACAATTACAAAACATCCACGACAGGGTCCCACCGTCGTCATCCAATAACTTATATTTCGCGCAGTGCCCTTGCGTTTTGTCTTCACTGCCAAACAGAATTCACGCACGTAAATGAGTTAGGGTTTTCTTGCGTCTCTTTGCAGGTACGACGAGATCTTCGACGGCGTCGTTTTGGCTTACGATGTTTACTCGTTTGACAAATGCGCCAAGATCCTTCCTGGAGTTTATCCTTATTTTGGTGTTAATTTGAAGCTTAATCTGTTGCTTTTTTCTCCCAAGCCAGATATGCTTTTAGGTATTGTTAAATTTCATTTGTTAATGCTACTTGTATTCTTTCATTTCGGTCTATTGTTTTAACAAAAATTAACAAATTGTGATAGTTCAATTTTTTTAGGATAGTTTATTGATTAATAGGGTTTGTGTTTTTTTTTTTTCCAGAAGGAAAGGTAGTGAAACTTACACATGAGTCTATTCATGTTGTTGTGCTTGGATTTGCTTCTGCGATTATAACGGAGAAAGATATCAGGGCAGAGTTTGTGTATAAAATGGTGAGCTTCTCCCAGGAATGTTTTGGTGGTTATATATGTGTGTGGTTTTAGTGTTCTGTAGCGGTGATATGTGGTTTTTGTTTTTGTAGAAACACGGGCAAGAAGTGTATGCGAGTAACTCTCACAAGCGACATGTGATAAAGGTTGGAACCACGATACAATTTTTGGTCAAGAGGTGACATACTTTTTAAATTGATTAGAATAAGATTAGATTTGTGTTCAATGCATCTTTTTGCCTTACAATTGCATGAATATCTGTCTCTAGTTTGGTTTCTATTTCCCGATCTTCATTCTCTAGACTTGAATTAGTGGTATTGATTGTGTGTTGAATTTTAAATATCCGCGTTAGCTTAGACATCCCCAAGGATATAGTAATCATCCCTCTAGATGGGTTTCATTGTGTATCCTAATTGATTTTTGACACGAAGGAGTACTATGTATATGTACATTTGTATGAGTCCTTTAAGTTTGTTCTATCTTCACCAACAAGTCCTTTAAGTTTCACAATGTAATCTTTGAATAAGTCTAGTTGTCCAGACATAGATATAGCTACCTGCTTAAACAGAGCAAGGAAGAAGAATTCATGAATGAAAATACCAATTTTTATAGTAACATTTTTGGGGTTGGTGAAAAATATGTTTACCTCTAATTGTGAAGTCATAGGATCATATCCTGCACCACCAGATGCAAAGTTTACACCTGTGAGTAGTTCACTAGGCTGCAGATTTGGGTCCAAATATGCTGGCAGATACTCTTTAATTCCTAATTCTTCAACTGATAGTACAATTTCAAATGAAAAACAAATACAACTCTATTCAAATTCACATCTTAGATTAAACTATTAAGTATTTCTTTTGATTGCTTTTGAGTTTATCATATCATTATAAGCATTATCTGGGTAACGAATTTTAAACATTATCTGGGTAATGTGTCTTTGATATCTTCAATTGGACTATAGTTTGACCTTTATCTTTCTAAAGAAATAATGTATAATAAAACATGTGTTATAACCATCAACTTTAATAGTATATTAAGATTTATATTACTATTCAACTCTCGTCACTTCGATTCGTAATTAAAAAAAAAGAATAATATAAAACTTATGTTACCTATAATATCCGAGGGAACTTTTCTGTTACTAAATCTTCCGGTTGGAAGTCCTCCTTGAAAATCTTTGCCATAGGGAGGGTAATTGCAGCGAGAAGGTGTTGTCATGTTGTTGTTATTTCCAGTATCCATGATTGAATCTCCAAACACAAACACGGCAGGAATCGAAACATTTGGCGGCAGTTTCAAAACCGCTTTTGTTTTCAACAAAACAACTAAAAATATTGTGAAACGGAGAAACGCAGTTGAAAATAGATAAGAATGTGTTGGGAACTCCATAATGTATAGAAATGGAGTTTACAACATTTCCTCCTTCTACTGTAACATCAATACTGCCTCCTTCTCGATATAAAAGGACACTGTGACACACAAATTAAAAATAATAATAATGACTGAAATAATAAATACAACACGTTTATAAAATTGTCTTTAATATTATTGATTATTTTTATATTATCATAAAATCAAAATGAAATTTAATATTTTGAGAGTAGTATAGAGATAATTAATTAAAGATATAATTGATGAAAATCAATTAATATTATATTAGAAAAGTAAAAAAAACAATTATTTTGGAACAAATTATTTATATTAAAGAGACATTTATTTTGGGGTAGAAGGAGTACAAAAGAAGATGAATAATAATAGTAATGACAAAAATTGAAGGGTATTTATTTGTGCTGTGCTGTGAGATTGTTATGCAATGAAGGTAAAGTTTTATCAGTAGTTTACTGGATTTGGTTGAATTGCATGTGGGTGCATTAAATAGGTTGTGCCAACTATGTCTAAAGACTGAGTAAGTGTTACTTTCATGAGACCCAATTGGGTAGGTAGGTATAAGGACCCTCACTGGATTTATAACTAGAAACAAATGTACACAACCATTCTCTTGGGATGCCTTGAACCATTTTATAAAACTCATCCTTTTAAAATTTCACCTTTTACCTCTTGGTATAAATCTAGTTTTTGAATCTGTTAAAATTTCATCTTTTAAAAATAAATAAACTAAATATCATGAATGTAAGTTCATACAAATTTTCTTGCATTTATCAACTGAATTGAACAAACTAAAAATAATATAATTCTGTACCACTGTATCATTGGTTGCACATGAATATATACAAAAAGAATTGGCTACCTAATCAATAAATCTGTAGGGAGTGACAGGAGTTGGACTTCTTCTACTAACATATATAGATCCCTTTCTGTGTCTTTGGATTGATATCTAGTATCTACTATGTAGGTTTGCCTGTTCTTTGTATAAATCTTTGTTCTATTTTGGGTCTTGTCTAGTCTAGAAGCACCCTCAAAGGTGCACACACATATTTTAGGTAATTATTTAATTTTACTCGGATTATCATCAGTATTATTATGTCATTTTATTTCATTTCAGCTTATTTCATTCATATTTTAGTTGTGTATCAGGTCTGAGATTGGCGTCTGTGTCTTATATATGCTTATTTAGTGTTTCGTATTAATGATCAGTTAATGAATTTAGTTTCCTTGATGCTCTAGAAAGCTTGTTATCAAATTGCTGTTTTTCTTTCTTAAGCTTAACATACTTGATTTGTGTTTATTTTTCTTGCCTTAACTATTGTGTAATTATCTAATATTCTATAAATCTAGATTAAGTTTTAATTTATTAAACACCTTTGCATTCAAGAGATATAGGCTAAAATTGTGCTCTATAATGACTTGATAATAACACAGATTGCTGTAACAATGTCTGTTCATCAGTATTCTATTTCAGTGCTGTCAATCGTGGTTCGCAGAAAATACTGGTTTTTAACTGCAATCTCAGTTTTCAGTGCCGTCGTGCTTCTTGTATCAACCCTATAGTTATATATGATAATCATAAGCTTGTAGTAACAATACTATTTTGATTTTGCAGGTAAGGATTTAAAAGACTCACGAGTGCTAACTGATGTCGGTGACGTCCCTATTCAAGAAATTCGAGATTGTGGCGTAGATGATAAAAGATTGATGAGTGTCATTGGCGAATCTGTCAAGTTAGTGATGGAAGAGGTAAATTTGTCAATTTATGATTTTGAATTAAAAAAGTACACCTTTATCATCCTCATATATTGTTTCTTAGCATTCACTCCACTATCATGTGAAATGCTATAACATTTTGCAGATAACTTTCTGTTCGAACTTGCTTGATCCTCGTGTTGTTTATATTCTTTCAGGCTCCTCTAAGACCCTTAGTTTTAGGTGGTGATCACTCAATATCATTTCCAGTTATTAGAGCTGTCTCGGAGAAGCTTGGAGGACCAGTTGATGTTCTTCATATTGATGCGCATCCTGACAACTATGATGCATTTGAAGGGAACATTTATTCGCATGCTTCTTCCTTTGCTCGTGTCATGGAGGGTGACTATGTTCGGCGACTCTTGCAGGTAATCTTTTATTGTTGATAAGTATAAAATCAAGGTGGCGCCGTGATTTTGTTGAAACTACAAACTGTAACCTTTTGCCAAAACAATGCTTTTTAATACATTTCAGGTTGGTATTCGATCAATAACAGCTGAAGGACGTGCACAAGCAAAAAAATTTGGGGTCGAGCAATATGAAATGCGAACATTTTCCAGAGATCGCCCCTTCCTAGAGAACCTGGTATGTCTCTCTCTGCCTCCGTGTTTGTATGCTCGTGTATATATGCACGTACGCACGCGTGCGCATAGTAAATTCCAAACATGTATTGATACTAACTTGTGCATTTGTATGTTCTTTTTAAACCTTGGTGATTTCCTTGTGCAGAAACTAGGGGAAGGTGTGAAAGGGGTGTATATCTCGATAGACGTGGATTGTCTTGATCCTGCATTTGCTCCGGGAGTGTCTCATATTGAACCGGGAGGTCTTTCTTTCCGCGATGTTCTTAACATCCTACACAATCTTCAAGGTGATGTTGTTGCTGGAGACGTCGTTGAACTCAACCCACAACGCGATACTGTTGATGGAATGACTGCTATGGTAGCTGCTAAGTTGGTCAGAGAAATGGCTGCAAAGATTGCAAAATGATCAAGAGATTTCGGAGCTAACCTCTTTTTGTTATAGTTCCTGAAAATCGGAAAATCTCACTTGTTATAGGTAACTTGTAGCAAAGTTATAAGGTGGTATAAGCATATTACAATGTGCAATAATTCATAAATCTTTTCTCCCAATAATACTAAGGACTAAGGACTTTCATGAATTTTGTAGAATATTGTAACATTTTTTGTAATTCTCTCAAGTTGTAGCAAACCAATGTAAATATTAAAATGAAATTTGGCCTTTGATGATATTTGAATTTTTCTTGTTTATTGGTAAAATTTGCACTTCTTTTTACCTTTGATCACATTTTTTTGATATTATTGATGATTATTTGATATTAAATGTTTTTATTGTAATTAACTTTATTATGTTGAAAAGTGATAGAAAATAAAATAAAAATACTATAAATAAAAAAATATTAAAGTAAATAATAATTTAAATATAATAGTAAAATATTATAGTAAAATAATATTATATTTAAAATTATTTTACTAAATAATAATTTAAATAAAAATATTATTTGAAATTTATAAATCAGATTACGACGGTTAAAACCGCCGCAATTTCTAACCTACGGCGGTAGAATAACCGTCGCAAACAACAACAAAAACAAAAAATAAAGTCAAATTCACGACTGTATATAACCGTCGCTATCTATTGTGCGTGACAGTTTTTGCAACCGTCGCGAAATAGGCTGGGGACGCACGATTCTGCGACGGTACTTCTACCGTCGTAGATTGTAAATTGCGACGGTTTTAACCGTCGTAATCAGCCAAAATAACCGTCCCAATCTATCATTTTTCTTGTAGTGGTATCCCCAGATCCGGGTTAGGATCTATAGAACTCTGATACAAGCCCATAAATATAAATCATACAAAGCAAACAATTGAAAACACAATGATCTAATCCTAAGGTACACCCCACTTATTAATTTTCCCCAGCAGAGTCGCTAGTTCTGTGATACGGTAGGAAGAGAACTGACTGTTTTTGGAATGCTGGTTCGCGTTTTACATTTGTTTTCGCAAAATGTCTCCGTAAGCAAGAGTCGCCACCGTATTTTATTTTATCCAACAAGGAAAGGAAAAAAAAGCACAGAAAAATTCCTTTTATTTCATGAGTACTTACAGTGCGTTTTAGGCAACGAGAGGACTTGGTTCTGATTGCTATAACTTCAGTGGAATCCTGGCAATTGAACCACGTTGAGGTTTTGGATTGAATTGGCCTCCAAGTATGATTTCGGTTTCAAGATTTTCAAGCTTTTTTCCAAGTTTGGTCTGGCCATTTGTGCAACTTTTTGGTCGTGTTTTTGTGTGCTCTAGCTTGTATCAGTAATAAGGGTTGTATTAGGTTAAATCTTTGGGCTTGAATCCATGTGAATTGATGATTCAAGATTTGATTAGATCATCATTAACAAAGATTCCAAAATTGTCTCAAATCAAATATTTTGTTCACAATATAGCATGGTAAGAATTTGATTGGGTGTATCGTGATAATTAAGACCTGTAATGATCAAAAAGATCTTATTCCATCAATTTTTGGATTTTATTTGAATTAATATTGATTTAAAATGAATTAATTCAATAAAAATCAAATAAAATAGAAAAATTAATGAATTGACATGAAACTGAAGATAGGACACGTGTGTGGTGTGACAAGATCAAATCAAGTGGAAAACAGTGGGCCCATTTGGCAAAATTTGAAGTTTTGGGGATAGTTGACTTATGGCAATTTTGAAGAAATGCCCAACTTCAACAATGCATAACTTCATCAATTTTGAACTTTTGGAGGAGTTATTAGACTTTTTAGAAACCTTGATATGTCCTCTAATCAACCATTTTGGTCTCATCTTATTTTGATATTCCATGCTCAAGTTATAAGCTTTGGAAAAAAAGGTGTTTTTGTTGACTTTCAAAAATGACCTATAATGTCCAAATTTGTAACTTTTTGTGAGGGCATTTCTTAATCTTGGGGTGTGAAGATGGATTGTATTGAATTGCATACTATTCAAAATGAGCTTTGGATGGGTCATTTCTCATAAAGTATGAGAAAGTTATGCTTGGTCAAAGTTGAGTTGACTTTTCCTACAAAACCCTAATTTAGCAACTTTTGAATCTTGATGAATCTTGAGCAATCCATGATGAATCATGATCAACCCTTGATAAAATGATGAATTATACTTCAAAATGAGAATGTTGACAAAAAATCTTGAGATTTGACTATTTGTAGGTCACAGTTGACTTTTGCCC